CCTATCCCTGAGGATTTTCTATGGCCAAGCAGAAATGTTGAACTCGGGTCTGCTGGTCTGCTGGTCTATTCACTAGACCATACACAACTCTCACGATTTGAATTTTTTTTATGAAGAAGGAGTTTAAGAAATACAGCTACAGGCAAAGTGTGCAGGCTTTGTCCTTCTGGAACAAAACGTTGGAATCCTCTTACTGGAGACACATTTGTCGATGCTTAGAAAGCCAAGAAGTATTAAAATGTCCAGAGAATGGGAAAGGAACACAGTGGGAGAATTCACTGCTCCCTGGAGAAGATAAAATGGAATTTATTCAGAGTTGCTTTCCTGGGCACGATGTGGCTTTATTCATCGGAAAAGAGGGCAGCGATTAGCACATTGCTATCTTTGCAGTAGACCTTAGTGGAATAAATGGGAATAAATAAATAAATAAATAAATAAATCCAGATATAAAAGAATATATTAGGTAAGAGCTGCACCTTTAAACTCAACGGGACACCACCTTCTCTGCTGTGCTACTGCTCCATACACTGCTAAATTGTTAAATATCAATTCAGGATGCTAGCACTGCATAGCTATCATGCCGTCTCAGGCTGTTAAAATTTCACTACTGCAGGCTGAAGGAAGTTCAGTATGTTCTATAAAAATCAGTTCTGTTGAACCATGTGAGTTGTACAGGAAGGAATGGGCTAAACAGACATATACAGAATATGTAAGGAAAATTAGTCTGTATTCGCAAAGGCTCCTGTGCTATGTAGAGCATGTAGTGGTCAAACATATACAGTATATACTGACAATGTTACCATCATCATTATCATCATTGTTGTCATCAATTATATGTGATGGTCCCCCTTGACTTTTAGTCCAGTCCTGTCTGACTCTAGGGGACGCTCTTCAAGCCATAGAATCAGCGTTTGTCCGTAGACAGTTTCTGTGGTCACGTGGTCAGCGCTACTAGACATGGAATGCCGTGACCTTCCCACCGAGGTGGTACCTATTTATCGACTCATATTTTTCCATATTTTTGGATGGCTAGGTTGGCAGGAGCTGGGACAAGTGACGGGAGCTCACTCTGACGTGTGGATTCGATCTTACGACGGCTCGTCTTCTGACCTTGTAGCACAGAGGCTTTTGTACACTCCTGTCTTTTCATGTTTGAACAAATATTTTAAGGCTGGGCCCATGATGGCTGCTTTTCAAAACATTTTTACCTTTTTGGGTTGTTTTTGTTATCTACCATAAATTTGCCTCTGGCTTACTGTGACCTCCTTAACTACCATAGTATTTTATAAATTCTAGTTTTAGGGGGCTGCTAACCTGTTTTTAGGTATATTCAAATTCTCTAAAACAGCAATCACCACTTTAAAGCAGGGAAGTAAATCTTTAAGCTTTTTTTTTCTTGCAGGGGAGAACGAATTAAGATAAATGAATTTTTCCCCCTACTGGGCAAGATTAGAAGAGCTTTTGTACATTTATTTTCCTTTGGATTTCAGGGTTTTTGGGTGTGGAAAAAATCACATAAGCAGTTGGTCCAAAACAGTTGGTATTTTGCAAAAAGTGAAGTCTTGTTTCGTCTTTCTCATAATATTGCTGCTAATAGGGCTATAGGAAAAAAATGTTTTTTTCCACTTTTTTAAAGGAAGGAAGCATTTTGTAACTGGGGGGGACTTGGCCATCTTTTTCAATGAGGATGAAAAAAGAGTGTTCAGTACAGTTTTACTTTAAACTCATTTACACGGTAGCGAGAGAGATATTTCTGCAGACTATCTATATAAATTAATGGATGTTTCACATGCAGATTTATTTTTAAACTTCCTAAGCTCTTTAGACGCAAGGCCATTTTCATGTGTGCTTGATTAAAATCACCCACCTCATCTATGTGAAGTCACAGCTTGGGCACAGTTGTTTGAAAATCAAGTTTGAAACAGTCATTTCTAAGTGAAAAAGCACTTGACTTGAGTATTTTCACTTAACGAACACAACTTATTCAAATTAGGAGAAGCAGCATTTCTCCACTGGCTTGAGTGTAGAGTAGTGAACTTACACCATGCTGTGTTTGAATGAATGTTGCTGCCTGTTAAACATGGACATGTTTGCTTTGGGTGAGGTGTGCAACCGCAAGGAGAGAGCTTTTGTGTTACCCTACAAGAGTCCAAAGTCTAAATCAGGATTGGGCTTGTTGTTCAGTTGTTAAGTCGTGTCCGACTCTTCGTGACCCCATGGACCAGAGCACGCCAGGCCCCCCTGTCTTCCACTCCCTCCCGGAGTTGGGTCAAATTCATGTTGGTCGCTTCAATGACACTGTCCAACCATCTCGTCCTCTGTCGTCCCCTTCTCCTCTTGCCTTCACTCTTTCCCAACAACAGGGTCTTGTTTTCAATCTTTCCTTAACTATCCCTTTTAATTCTTTCAGTCTCAATATATAGCCCTGTCTCTTCTTCTCTCTAACTCTCTAACTGCCCTATCTGTCCCAAACTGTCTTTTTTCTCCCCTAGTTCCATTTGTTCTGCCCTTCCTGTCCTGTCATAGGCTCCCACACCAGAGCTCTAACATGACTGACAGGAGTGACGTGTGAGCTGTCCGTCAGTGATGTATGTTTATGAAACTGCAAATCTGTGTGGCTTTGGGGGTGTGTGTCTCGTGTAGGAGCATGTAAAGTGTGCAAATGTCAAGAGTCCATTGGAGTCTAGATGTTCAGAACCTGCAAGTCTTAAGTCAACACTCCTTGGCTGTTGCCATCCTGCAACACTCGTGTTCTCCATAGAGATTCATTTGGCTGAAGAAGTGCCTTGCTTTGCTCGGCCTCTTGAAACGCATGCCAGGTGGTGAGGGAAAGTTCAGAAGTCTCCACATTTGACTGATTTAAACTGATTCCAGAAACAGATTTGATGTTTTAAATCAACCACCAAATAATGCATCAACACAATAAAAATGGAACCATATTTTAAAAAGCAATTAAAAAAAGAAAAATCATGGGGAAAAATTTTCATGAAATGAACAGGAAGACAAAATGTTTGTTGATCATAGCAAATCAGTGTCCTGGTAAAAAAACATACATTTCTTTCATTTACATGGAGTTTGTGTCCCAGAGCCCTGGGATCCCCAGTTCATAATCCAAATAGGGCACCTTCTGAAAAAAGACTTCAGTTTGCCTCCAGAGGATGATGGAATTGACATAGCATTTGTTTCCCAGCACAAAGGTCAATGGCACTGAGGTCGCATTTGCCCCCTTGCATAGAAGGGGATTCCACTGCAGTGTTGGAATGGAGGGGCATTCAACACATTTAATTTCTGAAAACTTCGTGTGGCTTCTGACATCATCGGCCTTATGCAGTGTAATTTACAGAATAGGATTTAAATCCCGTTTCCTTTTGAACTTCATTTTTTAAAAATAAAGGTTGTGTTGCAGCCTGGACAGATGTTCTGTCAACCTCAATTAAGGGCCCCAGTTTGCTCATAAAATTTTTGCTTATAACACGTTTTTTGCTCATTCCATTGGAAACAGGGAATTTTACAGAGGAAGACCCTGTTGTTCATCTTTCCATTCATTTCAGTCTGTGCAGCGGAAAACGTCTCTCTGGGCTGGAAAGAGTTCCAGAAAAATGAAACGGGATGGTCCCTTCCTCACCCATTGCTTCACCTCTGCTCAGAGGGCAGCCCTCCTTGTGGACCTTTTCATTGAGATGAAAAACCTCACAGATGTTGCCTCCTTTCTGAAACCATCACTTGTGACATCTTGTGACCAGCCGAACCTGGCTAGGGCTAATTTCCTTAAAACTGCCCTGTTCTTTCCCTGAGATAGCCTTGAGCCCAAAGCGTGAGACCAATGCTTTTTTAATTTAGAAACAACTACTAAAGTAGTTTCTTTCTAAAGTGTAATGGCCACATGGTGCAGTTCTCAGGCCTGTCATTTCTTGCGCTTTAATTCCATCTCTAACAAGTCCCCTCTTAGATACAATGCAGGGACAATAAGCAGCCCCCTCGGGAAACCCACAGGGTGGTCTCAGCAACCTCAGATATGCAGATGATACCGCTCTCATGGCAGAAAGTGAGGAGGAATTAAAGAAAATCTTAATGAGGGTAAAAGAGGAGAGTGCAAAAATGGTCTGAAGCTCAACATCAAAAAACTAAGTTCATGGCCACTGGTCCCATCGCCTCCTGGCAAATAGAAGGGGGAGATATGGAGGCTGTGACAGATTTCACTTTCTTGGGCTCCATGATCACTGGAGATGGTGACAGCAGTTACAAAATTAAAAGACTCCTGCCTCTTGGGAGGAAAGTGATAACAAACCTAGACAGCATCTTAAAAAGCAGAAACATCGCCTTGCCAACAAAGGTCCGCATAGTCAAAGGTATGGTTTTTCTAGTACCAATGTAGGGAAGTGAGAGCTGGACCATAAAGCGGGCTGACCGCTGAAGAATTGATGCTTTTGAATTGTGATGCTGGAGGAGGCACTTGAGAGTCCCCTGGACTGCAATGAGGATGAACCTATCCATTTTGAAGGAAATCAACCACGAGTGCTTACTGGAAGGACAGATCCTGAAGCTCAGGCTCCAATCCTTTGTCCATCTCATGAGAAGAGAAGACTCCCTGGAAAAGACCCTGATGTTGGGATAGTTTGAAGGCAAGAGGAGAAGGGGACGACAGAGGACGGGATGGCTGGACAGTGTCCTCGAAGAGACCAACATGAATTTGACCCAACTCTGGGAGGCAGTGGAAGACAGGAGGGCCTGCCATGCTCTGGTCCATGGGGTCACCAAGAGTCGGACATGACTTAACGACTAAACAACAACAAAAGATTAAATCAATCCTGAGCTCTGTTTCTCTAGGGAGTTATTTGTGGCTGATCCACAACGATTTTTAAAAACTTCTTAAATGAATCTGGCTATTTGCAAGTTCAGGACAATGGGGAACTAGGTGTTTGTTTGCCAAAACCTCTCTTTTCAATCCAGGAGACAGATTACAAAACTATGTTAATATTTATTATTAAACGGAAGCAGGCTTTTAACATTCCTTTTGAAGCAATTAAACATATCACGTTTCATTTGGACAGCTTCTTCTCCTTCTCTTTGGCTTGCTCAATCTTCTTTTCTTGGCATCTGATCATTGTAGACATGGCTGAAGCAGCATGTGGGAAAACGTTATTAATAATGGTCAGTAAATAATTGCTGTGGAATAGTTCTATTCAGGAAGAATGGGTGTTAACATCACACCTCTGTCAGTATAATCTGCATTGATTTCCTGAGCCAAAAAATGTTTGGTCGAACTTGAGAGACCACAACCTCTGGTGCCTGAAGATTGCATGGGAAGTATGCACTCAAGTATGCAAAGTAAAGGTAAAGGTAAAGGTTCCCCTTGACAATTTTTGTCCAGTCGTGTTCGACTCTAGGGGGTGGTGCTCATCCCCGTTTTCAAGCCATGGAGCCAGCGTTTTGTCTGAAGACAATCTTCCGTGGTCACGTGGCCAGTGCGACTTAGACACGGAATGCTGTTACCTTCCCACTGAGGTGGTCCCTATTAATTTACTTGCATTTACATGCTTTCGAACCGCTAGGTTGGCGGGAGCTGGGACAAGCGACGGGCGCTCACTCCGTTGCATGGATTCGATCTTACGACTGCTTGGTCTTCTGACCCTGCAGCACAGGCTTCTGCGGTTTAGCCCGCAGCGCCACCAAGTACCCAAGTATGCACAGGTTCCTAAATAGTTGAAGGCCGGTTGGCTGGTTTTTCTTAAGACTATAATTCTTAAACCTCTATTATCTGAATATTTCAAGCAGACACCTATCTGATTCTAACTCCCCAGTGTAAAGTATGAGATACCTATATACGACCAGCCAACATGCAGTAAGGCTAGTAATATTCCATGCTTTTAAACATCGTAAGATCTTCAAGCAGTGTGAGTTGCCATACCTTGGTTTTTCAACTGCATTGTTTCTACACGGTTCTGCAGGCTCTCCATCTTGTTCTGTAGTTTCCTGCATGTGTTTCCATTGGCTTCCTCTGTATGCATAACTATGGAGAAAACAGTCAACTGTTAGAGATAAAATGCACCCAGAAGCAAGGTTGAAGACTGCTGGAGGGTATGGAACCAGGGCAGCTTAACATTTAGTATTACTGGTGTCACATTAACGCTTTCTGTTGCTGAATGTTGTGATCTTCTGGACATCAGTCCATTTCTGCTTGCAATGTCCCAGCTATGCCAGGGCCAGACTAGACTGGCCAGAAAGGCGTTCCAGGTTTCTGTCTCATATTACAGCGACTGCTTTCAGTTTGATCCCAAATCTACAGTGATGATAAGGTAAAGGGTAAAGCTTCCCCTTGACATTAAGTCCAGTTGTCCTACTCTAGGAGGCGGTGCTCATTTCCGTTTCCAACCCATAGAGCTAGCATTTGTCCGAAGACAATCTTCCGTGGCCACATGGCCAGCGTGACTAGACACGGAATGCTGTGACCTTCCCACTGTGGTGGTACCTATTTACTTGCATTTTCATGCTAGATTGGTGGGAGCTGGGACTCACTCCGTCATGTGGATTCGATCTTACAGCTGCAGGTCTTCTGACCTTGCAGCACAGAGACTTCTGTGGTTTAACCCACAGCACCACCACGTCCCTTGGATATATATTCAAGGAAGTTGTTTTCGTTCTACAGTGAATGGAAAAATAAGGTTATACAGAGGAATTTTAATAAGCATCTGCTGCAGACAGAAGTGTGACCTTGCACACATTCTGAACCACTTGTGTAAGGGATCTCTGAACACTGGCAGTATCTTGTCTTGCAAGATTTGTATCAGTAACTCTCTCATGCACACAGAGCTATCTCTCACAATTTTTACTGAGCCCACAGAAATAATAAATACATAGAATGATCATGGTCAGGAACAAGCAAATATAAGACATTTATGCATATAAATTGCTCTCCTACAACAGACGATCTGATGCATCCAGCCATATCATGCAGAGAGTTGAAACAGAATAAAATTTCATGACTAAATATCAGCATGGAAGAGGAACTCAGGAGCATGTTTGTGGTTTAAGAGGAAAGAGAGTTTTAAGGCCTGGAATATTAGAGTTGCTAAAACTCAGAATCAACTTGACACAAAAAAGTCAAGTCACGCAAAACTGAAGCTGGCTAAAAATGGCAGGATCGAAGTTTCTGAAGGTGGTGGAGACTGGAGCTAAATAAAATGGGGCTCTAGGGTTTCTGGGAGAGAAAGGAGAGAAGGAGAAATGAAAGGATTTGTGCAGTGGCTTGTTTAAACTGCAGTGGAGCGCAGCAGATACTTTAACCTTTGAACTGCAGAGTTGGAAGGGACCCGATGGATGATTGAACCCAGCCCTTGTCAAGGGGACCCAGTGGGGAACTGAACTCCCAACCTCTGGCTCCACAGCCAGAGACCTAAACCACTGAGGAGTTCTTCCTAAGTATGGCCACAGTATCAAAAAGAGGTCACTAGGTTAATAAGGAAATCTGCATTCCAAATGTTACATTTTTTCCAGCCCCTTGCGCACTGTTTAGAGTCTCTTGATTTTCTATTGCAGCTCCCTCTTCCCCATTCCAGTTCTCTATTTGGGGGGGGGTTTGTTTTTGGTCGATTTCCTGAAGAATATTCTGCAAATTTCAGAGAGTTGATAGAGCAAAGCACTTGAAGAAGAAACAAAGGAGACAAAAATAAAACAAAGGAAACTGGGAGAGCAAGCTCTTAGCTCTGCGCCTCAGCCCCTATCCCACCCAGTAACAAAGAAATAATAATATTGACTTATGGTTGTTGTGGGTTTTTCGGGCTCTTTGGCCGTGTTATGAAGGTTGCCGGCCACAGAGACTGGCGAAACGTCAGGAAGAACAACCTTCAGAACATGGCCAAAGAGCCTGAAAAACCGACAACAACCATCAGATCCCGGCCATGAAAGCCTTTGAGAATAATATTGACTTACCTTTCAGGGATACAGTAAGGCATGGTAGTAGGGAACCTTTGATTCTTTGGATGTTTTGAACTACTAGTCCCCTCATATCTCACCACCAGAAAGAGTAGCTAGGGACAATTGGAATTGGAGTTCAACAACATCTGATGGGACTCAGGTTTCCTGTCCTTGTTTTGAGGGTTAATGAGGTATCTAAGATACGTGAAATGTATGTGAAAATATAACATTCATTATTCTGGCTAAGGGATATACAGTGCCTGGAGGGGGAAGGATGAATTTAAAGCTTGCTTTCAAACCCCAACCTTATGAAAAGGAAGGCAGAAAACCTTAAGAATTCAAAAAGGTGGACTCTCGCAAGATTCTGACGTCAGAAGATCTCTGAAGATGAACACCCTGACACAGGGTCTGCATTAAAGGAAAGGACAGAGCATGCTATGTAAAGAGGCAACATTGTGTTTTAAAATTATTATTTCAGCAAGTGGAGAGAAAGAGTTGACACTAAAAGTCTTGTATTTCCCCAGGGAGAACACTTTACTAAACTCAAAAAAAGGAGAACTTTATATTGCAAAAAGTGCAATGAAATGTAATTGAAACAGTAAAATTATACTTACAAGAACTGGCACTGAAAGATACATCTATTTGGGGAGGAAGAACAAAGCAAATTAAGATTATAATATTTTTTTAAATAATGAAAACAAACAAAACCCACACAATTCATCCATCGCAATAAAAACGGTCCTCTCCTCTCCATACAGCACATGCCAAATCTCTCCTAACCTGCACACGTGCAATTCCAGAGTTGTCCATTAGATATCCTCCCCTCAAACTGCCTTCAAATCACGTCACTAGAAATGGGCACGAACCGCCAACTCATGCCGGTTTGTTTATTGGCTGAACAGGTGTTTGGCGCTTTAAAGCCCTGCCTCCTCCAGTGGGCAGCCAATCAGAGGCAGCGGCCCAGCTCCCCTGACCCTCTTGGGTGCTGCTTCCAAAGGGTGCCCTCTAGAGGAGGAAGGCTTTTGAAGCACTGAACGCCTGTTTGCGGATAAACAAACCTGCACGAATCGTCAAGCTGACGATTTGTGCCCATCTCTACACATCCCACAGTAGCAAATCTGGCTTTGTCACTCAAAGTTTAATTTTACATTTCTTTTTATCTTTTCTGTTCCTCGTAGCATTGCTTTTTTTTAAAAAAAGATCATTATATGGGTGGACAAGTTCTGTCTCTTTTCAATACAGCTGGTGGCACTTGTGTTTGCCTTTCTTTGGAGGAATATGGGCAAACCGAGCCAGAGCTTAGTTCACTCCTGAAGCTAAGAAGGCCAATAATCCTTTTGCTCCCATAGTTTCACGGCTGGTTCGGTGAAGCTCAGACACTTACTTCTGGCAGACGATGAGGTGGCGGCTTCTGGGGAGCAACTCTTCTTCAGACTTGATCGGCGTTCCGAAGAAGGTGCAGAAGTGGCCTTAAGGTCATCCGGTGAAGAAGTGAGCAGAGAGTGTACAGGAGACCTTCCTTGGCTCCTCTCCTCTGGGGAAAGTTTCTTGGAAGAAGTATAACGAGGAGTTGAACTGAAGATTGCTTGGGGCACTAAATGCGGTAAGGACAACGCACGTTAAAATGAATGAATGAATGAATGAATGAATGAATGAATGAATGAATGAATGAATGAATGAATGAATAGTATCTATATAAATAAAAACATTGAAAAGATCTTAATATTACAAGGCTTTAAAGAATGGAAGACAGGAGGAGAAATAGACCAGTTTTAACCCTCAATCTTGGGCTGAGAATACTCAGCAAAACTAGCATTTCAGTCAAACACCCTTACTGACAAATGGCCATTGTGTTCCACCTGGTTGCGGCAGAGGGAGAGGCAACAGAGCAAGAACCTATCTGTTATCTCAGCCCAGACCAGCTACCACTGACTCCTTTTTATTCACAGCTGGCCCAAGGCCGAAGCAAAGAAAACCGGCCATCTGGAATGAGAAGCAGCACCAGATTCTAATAATAAAGGGCATGGGGTTCTCCTCTAACTTCTTTCACTGGTTTGCAAGTGGCAGATCAGCTTGTTTTGGTTGATCAGAAACATTGGGGTTTGCAGGATACCCACTTGCATCTTTGGCTGCGAGCAATGCAGCTCAGTGGCTTTGGTCTGGTGGGGAGTTCAGTTCCCCACTGGTGCCTCCTGGAGAGGGGCTGGGCTCAGGGATTCATAGAGTCCCTTCCAGCTCTGCCGTTCAAAGGTGATTCTTTTTATTGTCATTATTCATGTGTTAAAAGTAAAGAGCAGCCTGTCTTGTCTGTTCTGGTCCCTAGTCATCCACCTGGCTGCGCAAGAGGGAGTCCCCTTTCTCTCAGAAATCCCTTTGGTCATCATAACCACTGTACCCGGCCCCTCTGTGACGTGACAGTGGGGGAACATGCGATGTTCCAAATGTGCTGGATTTTGACTTTCCTCCTCCCTTACTACAGTCATGTCGAGTGGGCCTGATGGGAATGGTGAGCCCAAATATCTGGAGGCCCAAACAGCCGCCATCCTGATAGAGCACGATGAAAGGACAAGGGGATGGAATGGCTTCTTTGACTCTTCTGTCTTCCTTCCTTCTTTTTCCCTTCTGTTTCATTGTCTTTTGGATTGCAAGCCACTGTTCTAAACTGTAAATCATGTTCAATGTCCTTGGCAAGGAAAGGACTATATAAAGGCAGTTCATTCGTTTGTAAATCCCTGACAAACAGCCAATGTGCAGGTAATATACTGCATCTCGTGATGTTTTTGAAATTTTGTATGACTTGTTGCTGTTGTTATGTGCCGTCAAGTCATTTCTGACTCATGGCAACCCTATGAATGAATTATCTCCAAAATGTGGTTTTCCACAGCCGCCTGGCTCAGCTCCTGCAAAGTCAAGCCTGTGGCTTCTCTTAGGGAGTCTGTCCATCTCGTATTTGGTCTTCCTCTTTTACTCCTGGCATCTATCTTTCCCAGCATTATTGTCTTTTCCAGAGAATCCTGTCTTGTCATTTATGTGAGTTGTGAGTTTAAAAAACCAGTCAATTTCCTTTTCTCTGTCCCTATTAATGCTGTGCTAAACATATGCCTTTACTAGATGTTGCATCTAGCCCAAACGTACCACTAGATGTAAAAGAGAGTGTTGAATCGTGATCTTCAAGGTCTGCACTGTGTAACGTTGAAGGTTCCCTGCGCACAAAAATTTTAAAAAGGTTGCCATTCAATTGTTCAGGAAGCATAAAGAAGAATAGAAAGCACTAATATTGGTCCATAATACACATAGAATTTCTTTGACTCCCTACACACCAAGCCTATCTATTTAAGTAGGTATGGCCATATTCTGAGAGGACAAACATCTGTACAGAGATGCCAACAGGGGTCCAAACCTCACAACCATTTTGTGATAGGCTCAGAAGAGCCTCTCACTGAGTCTAGTCTTCTGCCTCCAAGTAAGGCTGGCCAACCAGATGCTTTTAGGAGCTCATGTGCAAAACACAAAAATTAACCAGTCAGTCCTGCCACATTTTAAAATTCAGAGGCATACAGTACATGCAGCCTGCAAACAGGAAGATTCCATAGCATGGGTATGGTTAGTAGTAAGAGTGGGAATCATTTTTAAGGAGCTAGGTTGTGTCCGACATCAAACTATAATCCCCAAGTCCTTTTTAAAACTCCTTGAGAGGAAATGTGGAATAGGAGGAGGGTAGCACTGAGAAAGGTCAACGAGATAAGGAGGCTGAGAAAAGCACTCGGTGGTGAATACCACGGGGAAATGTCAAAAACAGTGCTATCCCTAGGAGCGAAGATCGGTCCTGGGCAGCCAAAAGGGCAGACAGGCAAATCAGCAACATCTCAGAGGAGCTTCTCCTTCTTGTTCTCCCAGCCACAGACATGTAGTGCCAGAGAGCTGAAACCTAAGACTTTATGTCTCACCTGCCAAAAGTATCTTGCCCCGCGATGCCATCGGAAGGTAAATCTCGGACTGCCGCCTCCCTGTGCACAGAAACAGATCTCTATTAAAGCTGCCAACTAAGTTGATGTAAGGAGGCCAGTAAAAATAGTGAATGCCTCGAGCAAGCAACAAGACGTGAGCACCAGCAGCCCCCTTAAGGTACAAAAGACAACGAACACCCTTTTTTTGATGGAAAGGTAGCCACATTTTAAAAAATAAACCAACAAAAAAGAAAGAAAAAGAAACAAGGGCCATTCAGGGGCCTCTTATGTGGCACACTGCATGTTCTTTTTTTTTAACTAGGGCATCTTGTTTTCTGTGCAAATTTGTCAAGCACCCATGAAAGGCTAAGGGCTGTGCAGGCGGAGGCACTTATTGGACCACCCAAAACCGAAAGGGAGGCTCCAGTGTCTCTATTTTGCTCCAGAAGGGATGCGGCTGGAGCTCCTGGTTGCTGTTCTTGGCCTAGGCAACATGACATCATTAAGGGTCGCTATGGAGCTCCTTGTCAAGAGATGCTAAGAGCCGACCTCCCTTGTTTTTTTCATCAGGAAGGACCTAATTTTTAATCAGGCAGGTATTTGGCAGCAGAAAGGGACTTTTAAAAGGTGACACAATACTTTTTAATTTTATCTGCTCTGAATTGTTTTCTGGTCAAGGGTGTTTTATTTTATAATTTGTTTAACCGTGTCCTTAAATGATAATATTTTCTATTTTTACTTGTCTCTGTTTTCTAAACTTTTTTTAAAGCTGTCTTGAGTCTCACTGTCAGGAGAAAAGGTGGGAAAATGTCAAATAAATTCATAAATAATGATGTGGATCGGGGAACTCTTGGGTCCTCCTGCACGGTGCCATTTTGCCCCCACTTCCAGGTTATGTCAGAAAAAGACCTTAGAGATAGCCTATGCTTAGAAGAGGTAATCCGTAACTACTGAAAGCCTCTGAGGGCTCTGCTAGACAGGGTGTCCGCTTTTCTAATTACTGGTATTCACCACTTCCTATTATTTCAGAAATGACTTATAATCTTGATGGTAGGTGGTCTTGTGAAGAAGCTTCTCTACTTCAGCACCCCTGGAGAGGATAGCTGAAGCAAAGTTTTTTTTTAAAACACTAAAACAAGATTCTGGAAGGAAAGTGTGAAAGATGGTCTCGGCAGCCAATCCAAAATTCCCTTTGCATGAATTGACTGAAATCTTCTTTTCTCTCCTGTTTTGGAACAGGAACTGCACCAGCTCCTGTGCCACCATCTGCTCTAGCACCTCGTTTCTCCCCCACATTCATTTACCTTGTCTTTTTGTAACTTTTTAAAAAAAACTGGGAAACAATCATCATGCAAAACCATGACTACCCCACTATAGAATACAGACACTGTTTTAAAAGAAAGAAGGGGAAGAAAGAGCAAGCTTCAGACTGGGAAGCAAGACGTGGCATCAAACCACCCAGAATGGGAAGGGACAAGATTGGGAAAGTGGACAAAATTGAAAAAATGAAAACAAAAACATGGTCCATATCAGGACAAGGGTAATGTCCTCTGAATGGCAGGACAAATCTAAGAAAAGTTCATGGCTTGGGGCTACTTGAAAGAGTTATGCATGCCTCCACTAGAAGAGCCATGAGCATCACGGCAGAGGCTTCTCTCACTTTTGTTAGCATGCTGATTAGCTTATTTTGTTTGGTGACAGATCTTCAGGGCTTAAGCACAAGATCCCTTGAAGTCATAGAATCATAGAGTTGGAAGAGATCACTGAGGCCATTCAGTCCAACCCCCCGCCATGCGGGAACATCCATCAAAATACTCCCAACAGATGGCCATCCAGCCTCTGCTTCAAAACTTCCAAAGAAGGAGACTCCACCGCCCTTCGAGGCAGCCTCTTCCACTGCTGGACAGCTCTGACCGTCAGGAAGTTCTTCCTAATGTTTGGATGGAATCGCTTTTCCTGTAGTTTGAAACCATTGCTCAGTGTCCCAGTCTCTGGAGCCATGGAAAACAAACCTGTCCACTCTTCAACATGACTTCCTTTCAAATGTTTTCTTTTCTTTTTTGTAAGTCCTCCAGACTTTTAACCATTTTAGTCACCCTCCTCTGGCGAGACAGAAGGGGAGAAGCAGGAAGGAGTTACATCTGGAACAATGCTCAGAACACTGCTTAATGCTCAGAGATACAGGGGATGTCTATGAGTGAACAATAAGCCTTTATGAAACTGAAGAGCAATTTCTATTCCAAAAATTTGCAGTCCTAGAAATGTGAAAAATGCATCTCGCCATCCTTCTGCCTGGCCATATCACAGTAGTTCGCTCTTCAAAGGGGTCCCCATGTTCTAGCTGAACTGACTCACCTACTGTAAGTTTCATGTGCTCTTCTGCCGATACACTCTCTGCTTGTACGGTCACTGCATGGGGGGAAAAAACAAGGCAATTGCTATAACAAAAGGTATCTATTTCAATTCCTAGTCTGTCCACCCTGATTTTTGTTTAGGAGAAAAGATAAAAAGGACATTCTTACGTCTTCATTACAACATGCTTAGGGATACTGTGGTGATGATAAAGCATCCACCAGTCATTGGCAGACCTGCCGTCCTGTCACAGAGTCTCAGTTGACTTAAAAATGAAAGACATGTATATGGCTAGGCGTGCAAAGTTTCGAAGCCTCAATGGCTGGCCCTGGCAACCTTATAAGTAGTTTGAAATTATGAGGCACGGGAAAGAACTTGAGGCCTTTGGCTCCACCACCGTCCAGATCGGAACTTGGATTCCTCCATGTTTACTGTCTACTAACATTCCCATTGACACCAACAGCAAGCAAGCATGGCGTCTGATTCCAGTTTGGATACAGTAGATGCAAAGACCGCCCCATGTTACGCTCCTGATCCAGCTCCCTTCTGTTCTCTCCTCCAAATGCTAGATATTTAGCTTCTCAATCCTTCCAGGATTGGCTAATGCCAGACACATGATGTGATGTGAAGTGTGGTCCTCAGGTGTGAAGATCATGGAACAAAGCAAGCAAGAAATATAGAAGAACAAGAACTTTGTGGAGTGAGGGGGAAAATCAGTCAGAAGTCTAAGAAGGTACCAAGTAGAGATGAGCACAAACTGTGCTTTGGTGTGGTTCGATGGACTGGGGCCACATGTGTTGCATAGGTGCCCAGGATTCCCTGCCCCGTCGCCTCCCATGGATACCCACTCAGACAAGGGAGTGGGGCATGGAAGCCCAGGGTGCTGCCCTGAGTGGGCCTCTGTGGGAGGAGGCAGGGCGTGGAATCCAGGGCACCTGCACAAACCCTGTGGGTCCAATCCGCCAAACTGCGCTGAAGCACCGAACCGCAGATCGTGCCCATGTCTAGTACCAAGTCAAGGAAAACAAGATGTCCAAGGAAAGAATTTTGTGAGTGGTCACAAGGAATGCAGGGGAAAAGGAGATCAGAAAAAAGAGGAGATTGGATAAGGAGAAAAAAGTAGCGAAGAAGGCCAAATTTCATGCTGATCTGAAATAACCAACTGTCTAATCACAGATCTCTAATCTCCTACTCCTTTGCCTGCTCTTAGTGATGGTGGGGCAAGCCTAGAATTTAGTGAACAAGGTCACTACAAGAACTGTGTGCTTAATCAGCACATCAGGAACCACAAAACCTCTCATATCCTGCATGAGCAAAAGGTTTCCTTTGTCTATAGATAATTCCTTTCCAAACTGCAATTCACAAAAACACACAGGATCAAGAGAATCTCGTCATTTCTGAAAGCATGTTCCTATGACAGTTTTGCACATCCTTACAATAGACTGCTGGCGCCTTCTAGCACTGAGTCAGTGTCATGGTCACTTTCTCTGTCCGTTAAAATCACAGAAGGGATTTCGTCCACTGTACTACGTAGTTCTTGAAGAAGTAGTTTTAAATCTCGCAATGGGTCCTCCTTAGTAGAGCTGCTTCGGGATGATACCTAGATTTTTAAAAAATGGAAACAACTTACATTCATGAAATACAATAAAATAAACATGGTGGCAGGATTTTGGCATCCGTTAAAACTCATTTGTTTTTGTGCAGCATCTTTTTTTCCTTTAAAGTCAGCATAATATTATTAAACAGGAATTAAACAAGGATTATATTAAAAACAGTAAATAAAATGAAAACTAAAACCCATTTAAAACAACAGAGCACAACAATGCATTTAAAAACTTCTCTCAGACCACCAGTCATTAAGGGAAAGCATGCCTGAAGAGAAAGGTCTTTGCCTGCTTTCGGATGGACAGCAAAACTGGGGCCAGGCAGGCCTCCAGTGGGAGGGAGTTCCAGAGTCTGGGAGCAGCCACAGAGAAGGCCCTCTCCCGTGTCCCTACCAAGTGCACGTGTTTTGATGGCTGTTGTGTTCAGTGATGCTTACTCCCAAGTAAGTGTGCACAGAACTATAGCCTAAGATACTTTTTTTGGCCACTGCTACCATCAATTAAAATACTCACAGATTTTATATTCCAGAGCAGGTACATACCTGAGAGATGTGGCCGGCAAATGATTGGGATGCTGAAGCACTAGACGGGTGGGAATAAGGCAAAGTGGAATAACGTGGCTTCAACGAAGTGATGCCCAGAGCATATCCTGGCCCTTGCAGCTCCTGCAGAAAAATGAACTTATGAGTCAGTAGAATGCAACTGATCTGCAAAAGAAAGAATCCAGTGTGAAGGCTGCTAGCACACTGGTTATACACCAACAATTTAAAAGAACGATGCAGCATTAACAATGGGATATTTTAAGAAGCGATAAACATAGCTTTCTAACAAGCTCCAGTGTCAGTTCTGGGCCCAGTGATAAGCTCTCATTGCTAATTATGGTAGACAGTTGGGATGAGACAGAAATGAACTGTATGAGATATGTACCGTATTTTTCCGTGTATAAGACTATACTTTTGTCTAAAAATTTTAGACTAAAATTGAGGGTTATCTTATACACAGAAGTAAGCTGAGGAGGAAAAAAACAAATGGAGGGGAAATAGTAAGCTGAGGAGGAAAAAAACAAGTGGATGGGAAATTAGGGCTCAAAAGTGATCCTGCAGGGCTTTGATCCCTGCTTTCCCCTCCACTTACTAAGCCTTAGCAAAAGGAAAGCAGGGATCAAGCTGCTGCAGGATCACTTTGATCTCTACTTTCCTCTCCGCTTGCTAAGTCCCATGGGGCTTAGCAAAAGGAGGGGGAAGGATCAAAGCAATCCCATGGCTGTATAAGGGGGAAAGGGATCAAAATGATTGTGCAGTTGTGGAATTGCTTTTATTCCTTTCCCCCTCCTTTTGCTAAGCCACTTGGGGCTTAGCATAAAGGGAGAAAGCATGGACCAAAGCCATCCTGCAGCCCTTTGAGCCTTTTTGAGCACAAAGGGAGAAAGCAGGGATGAAAGCCATTCTGCAGCATTTTGATCATTTTTATCCTACATTTGCTAAACCCCACTTAGATTTCTTAATTTTGCATTAGAAAAGTGTGGGGGGCATCTTATACATGGGGGCGTCTTATACACGGAAAAATATGGGTATTTATGCAGAGATAAAGACTATATAAGAAGGAGTCCAAATTTTATGAGCCGGTAATATTCACTGGTAAGAAGCTGGACAAAACAATGTTTAGGGAGACCATGTGCACGATGTGGGGGTCTCTAAGAACCTGAAGAAAGGAATTTTTTTGGACCAGACCAAGCAGGAAGAGGCTGTTCTGGGTGCAGGTGGGCCAAATGTATATTCCTGCAACAAAGTCTCCACCAATCCAAACACTGAGAATTAGAGCTTGGAAGTCACATGTTATTTTAACATGTCAATAGTAAAATAATTACTTTTCATTAAGCAGGAAGAATGCATCTATTTCTTAAAGAGACAATGTTGTGAGGGTAACCTGAACCTTAATAGTGTTACTTTTATAACACTGCTCTCCAGATGCATCAGCTGGCTTATCCTCCTGCTTAATGCAAAAGTAATGATTTTAACATCAGCATATTATCATGAACATGTTATTTCCAAGCTGAGCATGTTCTAGAACAAAAAAAATGGTCTGATTTCAGAAAATTGCATTTAGAAAGGATTTTTTTTAAAAGGATACTCTTCCAGTGCAATGCAGTGATGCAGAAGACTTACTTTGACATCCAACTTGTGTTGAAGTTTACAGCGCATAACCTCTTGTTCCTGTTGCTGCATAATGCACTGACATTCTGCAAACTGCATCGATGCCTATGTGGGACGATGTAAACATTATTCAGCTTTATGATGAACTTCTATATACTGAGATGCTTCAAATGTTTCTTGGTCTCTTGATACAAATTCTTTTAAAAATCCTAGGAATCACTAACCAGTTTTGGGATTGAAGAAGGAGGGCCAAACATTCCATTCCACTTTATTTATATAAAGGTAGTGTAGGAAAGACTGATCCTGAAGCTGAGGATTCAATACTTTGGCCATGTCATGAGAAGAGAAAATTCCCTGGAAAAGACCCTGATGTTGGGAAAGTGTGAAGGCAAGAGGAGAAGGGGACGACAGAGGACGAGATGGCTGGACAGTGTCATCAAAGCAACCAACATGAATTTGACCAAACTCTGGGAGGCAGTGGAAGACAGGAGGGCCTGGCGTGCTCCCATCCATGGGGTCACGAAGAGTCGGACGCAACGTAACGACTAAACAACAAGTGTAGGAATTAAAATTCTCTGATTTTAATATTAAAGAGAATGGATGGGTAAGAAAAGTTTAAACTGTCCTCTCCTTACTATTCCACGATTCATCTGTGACATTCCACTGCCTTCTTGTCAGTATCAGGTCAGACAAAAGTTTCTAATACAGGGAGGGTCCCGTCAGTGATGCTGCCACCCAAATGGTTCAAGAAGTGTTGATGGATACTAACAAATATCCCCAGACCACAACTCTGAAAGATAACCTGCTTGTGGAAGTTTCAGATCTGGGGGAATCTGATGCACCTTGTCCAGTCCCGGCCCCTTGTTTGTTCGAAAGCCTTAAAGATACAACCCTCCACGAAGGTCAAACACAAGGCAAAGACATAAAGTGTAATACCTGTCTGGTACCATGAAGCTTCCCATCCCTGAAGTCCTACTTAGGAAGAGGAACTATGACTCAACCTATGGATTAGGGCTTTATGGATACTCCAGAAAGGATGTTGCAGCTGGGAGAAGTGTTAAGCGGCTCAGTTCTGTGCTGGTAGTTGTGATTGCAATGCCTCATCCTGCTTAGACCTCAGAGATTCCTTTGCTGGACAGATTTCCTACTGTTCTGAAAACCTTCATCCTTACTTACTGGACAGCTCCCCAGCAAAACTAATTTGAACCACACAGTGTTAATAGTGGGAACAGGACTCCATCATTCACAGATATTTTTCACCCACTCCAGTTCACTGTTCGTCTTGGAGTTGGCCAAACAGAGCTTAGGGGACCAGCTGCAGAATTCAAACCCCCACCTCCCTCCTCAGCATGCGACGTTACCTTCAGGCAACCTCCTTGCTCGATCTATTAAAAAGAGAGGCCAATAAATCTGACTGCTACTGTTGCATCTCATTTGAATCCTCCTGGGAAGTGAAATCTACATTTCAGAACAGATTGCAGTGAACCTTCTTTGGACTTAAAATGCGAATACTGGACCATCAGGTCAGCTAGCTACATCTATAACAGTATTTTAATTTAACTATGGAGATTTCATAATACTTATCGGTGTAAAGTTCAACTGATTTCACAAAATGAATGTGTGATTAGTTTGGGCTGGTTCATACCCTGTATGTAAACTGGCATTTAATGGTTCCTCAGATTTATTTATTTATTTATTTATTTATTTGTTTGTTTGTTTGTTTGTTTGTTTATTTATTTATTTGTTTGTTTGTTTGTTTGTTTGTTTGTTTGTTTGTTCGCTTTATATCCCGCCCATCTGGTATTCTACCACTCTGGGCGGCTTACAGATCTGCCTTCTTTTTTATAGTAGAGCCAGGAGTAAGAAGAAATGTATATGTGGACTTCAAAACTATACCTTATCCAGAGCTGCTTCCACTGTGGCCAGTTTTTCTTTCAAACGTTTATCCTGTGCCTTTAGGATTTCCAGTTCTCCTGACATTTTGTTGTTCAAAGCAGCGAGGCAGCTAAGTTCCCGGCAAAGTTTATTTCTTTCTTCTTTCAGATAATGCTTCTCCTATATGGACATAGTGGAGAGGCTAAAACACAGCTCATATAAACTCTTCCAAGATGAATTCTTAAGAGTTTTATTTTGTATGCTGAGCTTCTGAAATAATTTGATCAAACCACAATCAAATGGGCAAAGACCCCATTTTCTATGACATAACACTCAGAAATGTTCTGAGCGAATGTGCGTTTTGTAGCCTGAGTAATGTAGTTAGATGTAATCATTGGCCTCAATTCTGCATGTTTTCTTCAGCAAATGAACTTCAGGAAACCCATTTTTTAAAAAAAATCGAAATTATATGACTTTGGAATTTATTTCCTTATTAAAATTATCACAAAAGCGAGACGTTCTATTTCAAACTCAAGATATGTTTCCAGCATATCTCTTCTTCCTTCTGTTGGTAAAATAGTTTAATATACGTTTTATGAAATCTATGTACAGTGGTGCCTCACTTAGCGATGTTAATTCGTTCTGCAAAAATCGCTGCAGAACGAAAACGTCGCTATGCAATATTAAAAAGCCCATAGAAACGCATTGAAACCCCTTCAATGCGTTCATATGGGCTTAAAACCCACCGTTGAGCAAAGATCTTCCATAGCGCCGCCATTTTCGGTGCCTCTAAAGCGAGGAATCCATCCCAAAAAACAGCGGGTGGCCATGTTTTTTTCCTGGTGGAGTGGATAGTTGACGGCAAGCTCCAGAGTGACTGGGAGGGAGAGCGGAGCTGCTGCCAGCAGTGGACATGGGAGTGGACGGTCTGGCCATCATCTCTAGTCATATCTGAACGAGCCCCCTTTCCTCATCAATGCCCCCATTTCAACATGAAAGGGAAAGTAACTTGAGGGTGCTTTTAATAAATAGAAGGACCTGTCCCAGAGAAATCTGCACAGTAGATTTCAGAAGGATTTGTGGAAAAGAAGGGTAAGATTCAAAACAGTGAAAAGGAGCTGGATAAATTGTTTTCAATGAGCATGATTGCTAAGGCAATGAATTCCCACAAATCATGTTTGGCTTAGTCATTCTACAGCAATAAATTTAGTTAAACATTTTATCAGTTTTGACCTTCGTTGCGCTGGCCATTGCATCCTCCAAGAACTGGATCTTGCTCTGCAAAGCATCTATCTGTCCTCGTTTGGCTGTGATTTGCTTCTGCATCCCCATTGCAACTTTCATTGCTATGAAAGAGAAAGAATCCCAGTGCATTAGTGGCACCTTGCTTTGGCAACAAGGATTAAGAAACTCTTTGCAGATAATACACTGGGTTTTCAGAGCAGACATGTATTGAGACTTACAGTTCTGGCCAAAATAACATTCTTCTAGTATACCTAGGAGGAAACCTAAGCTACTCTTAAAGAACATAGCAGGACCCATAGATATCTGAGAAAAGCTTGGGAAGGGTAGCATACAACATGGATTTAACCTTATGTAGCATGTCAACAAGTGCTGGAATTGATTTCCCAGCATAAAATTATTTTGCTTAGTCCTTTTAAGTAAATAAGCCGAGAGTCCAATAAGTTTCAGATGAGTTCCATGCTTAAGTCCTGAAGAAATCCAAACACCAACAAATCAATCTAAATTTGCATACCCCCAGAGCTGGAAGAACAGCTTCATTTGTTAAAAATTGTCCTGTTTGTGGGCTATCTATAACACCTGTGTTTTATTTGTGGTTTTTGAAAATACAGCTGTCATGATATATCTGTGAAGATCCTCAGTCATCCAAGTGAGGTTATCTGGAAGCTGAATCATGGCAAATTGACTTCTTTCTTATCAGGTTGAGATTGAAGAAGCTACTTGGGTGAGTAGTGAAACATTTCAACCTAATAAGAAAGAAGTCCAGTTGCCAGGACTCAACTTTCAAACGGCTGCCATGATGTTTCAAAGCTAAAGAATGCTGGGCATGCTAATTTGGTGGGAATGCAAAGAATTTTTTACACTAAAGATCTGAAACCAGATAAAATTCCCAACTTTCCCAGGAAAAGGTGTTACTCCAGTTTTAAGTATCTAATATAAATACACCCATTATCTATTTTATTTGTCTTTATCTGCCAAACACATGAGCACCATAGACTCTGCAACTTTATATTACTATATAGAATGCTCAGTTCAGCTGTAGTTTCGTACATGGCTTATATGTACTAAAATATGAAGATGAAGAAATAAAGATATTTATAAATATTGCCCTTTGGAAATAAAAGAAAGCAATTCCACAAAAAAATTATGCTTCCATGATTACCGTGGCCATCAGACCCCTCCATCGTCTTCAAGGTGCCTCTGGTTTGTTCCAGTTCAATTTGGGCAGATTTTAGCTGCAACTTCAGTTTGTTGACCATAGCTTCCATCTCTTCCGTTTTTTCTCGGTAATCAGTCCTTACATCTTCAGATTCCTCTGCAAAGCACCGGAGTCAGAATGAAGTCACAGAGGCATTCAGAAAACGTATACAGCTGAGAAGCATTTTGTCAGAGATCCTGCTCCTGTACTATGTGTGTCTGTAAGCTTTTCCTCCCTTAACTCAATATCTTTTCCATCAAAGAACTGACAAAAGAATCTAGAGGGACATGTGAGTTCCTAGATGACCACTCAGAGAACCACAGTTACAGCACCTGTCAGGCAGAGATGCTGTGATAGGTATCAGAGTCCCTACCAGTACAAGGCTTTATAAGTTAATACCAAAATCTTGAACAAGGCATGGAAAAGGACAGGTAGTCAATGCAGGCAAGCCAGGACTGGAGAGATATGGTAGTACTCCTTCACTCCAGAAATCAACCTGTCCACCACATTCTAAAGAAATGACCCAAACTATATTAAAATATATGTTTACTGTAAACTATACTGGAAGAAGTAGTATCTAAATACTTAAATAAATAAAACATAAAAGAAAGTACCAGTTTTCTAATCCCACTTTCTGCAACTCTACTTATATTTAGACTGCCATTCTTAGAATTTCAAGAACTGGAAGGTCATCACAGTAAACAGGCTCAGTTGCTGGGGACATACACAAGTTTAAAATGATGTCACTAGAGATCAGTGATTCTCACATGCATTCCTTGAAAGTAAGGGATGGTGAGGAAGCAGTGATTTCATATAAAATCATTCTGTGTTGTGAATCATGATGCATTTTGCAAAATTATTGTTCAAGCTTTTTGAGGGTCTGTATTCTAAGACTGAAATACCTTTCCATGTTTCTACAGAAAAGTTTTTCAGAAATGTGGTAGTTTAAAGCTTGAGTGGGGAAGACACCTGGAGAGGATACCTGGCTGACAGCTAGGGAAGTTCTACTCATAACTTGCCTACAAACAGTGCCTGGTACGCTTGCACTGCCATGTATCCCCTCTCTGGGTCCTCCTGAACCATATCAAGGGACATTTATAACCCTTCTTCCCCACCAGCATCCTGGCATCCAGCCAACACATCCACCAACCAAACCCTCCTATAGTTCTTTCTGGCTGCATAGGTAACACTTCTACCCCATCCATGGATTTCTGAGGCACTTCAGTTGGGATTTCAGAACCAACCAAACCCTCCTATAGTTCTTTCTGACTGCATAGATAACACTTCTACCCCATCTGGGGATTTCTGAGACAGTTCAGTTGGGATTTCAGGTGCTTCACCCCAACTTTCAGGCAAAGTCTCACTGCATTTTTCAGGCACCCCTATGGAGCCAACAATTTCCTGGGCTCTCAGGTACACCTCCTCCTCCTTTCTCTCTCGCTCTGGGGTAGAAGACTTCTCTGGACTGCAAACTATTAAAGGATCAGCAGAGGTGGGACCAGGAAGGAAGCATCAGGAGAGGCAGGACCAGAGAAAGGAAGGGGACTACAGGCTGGAATGTAATTCACATTGCAACCACTCTGAATAGTGAACTTCTGAATCAATCCGGATTCCCTGTGTGAGGACTGACTGTGATACAGGCTGAGAATCAAATCATAGCAAAGCCAAATCATTTTGATACAGCTTTCCAATGTAGACATATTCTGTGAGTTCTTCTTGGTCTATTCACTCAGTCTTTCTTAATACTTTTCTCCTGTTTTCAATTCTACGAAGCAAAACAATCCCTGAAAAAATAGGATTTTAAAAAGAAGATGAACCCACCTGCAAGTGTCGCGAGCTCAATTCGACCGGCTCTCACTTCAGTCACAAGCTCTTCTCTTTCCAGCGTCATCTCCTTTATCACCCGGAGCTTCTCAGAGTTTGCATTCATCAATTTCACCCGTTCCAATTCCATTTCGCTTAAGCTGGCCTCCAACTCACGGATCTCGCTGTCTTTCTTGTCCTGCAAAATCTAGATTTTTTTTTTTAAAAAGCTGCTTATTACTCCTGCTCATTTCACCCGTTCCAATTCCATTTCACTCAGGCTGGCCTCCAACTCACGGATCTCGCTGTCTTTCTTGTCCTGCAAAATCTAGATTTTAAAAAAAGCTGCTTATTACTCCTGCTTATCAGCTGGTGTATATCGGCCTTAGGATGAAACCGAATGCTTTTCTTTGAAAAAAGGATTAACACTGCCTACCCTTGAAACACGAAAACAGACACACCTTTAGTTCATGGACCTCCAGTTTCTTCTCATTCACTTCTTTCAAAAGATGGGATTTCTCCGTCTCCATGGCACCGACTGCCCGGCTGTGTTGGTCTACAATCTGCGTCATGTTCTCAATTTGCTTTTGTAGAATCTCAATCACTTTCTCCTTTTCCGTCAGCTGCAGCTTCAATGACTCGCACTCGGACTGCACGCTTCGCAGGTGTTCACTTTCCTTCTTCAGTTGCTGGAGCTCCTCCAGCTTGCTGTCCACCCGCCCGTGGAGCTTTTCGATCTCAGCGTTGGTCGACTCGATGACTTTTTCCTTCTCTTGCAGACAGGAGGTCAACTCAGCCACTTGCCTCTCTGCCGCCTCCAACCGTGTCTTCTTTTCCGCGAGTTCTTCCATAACTTTACGGAGCGTATCTTTGGTGGACTCTTGCAGGGCGGCGAGGGAGGCCACTTTTTCTACACTTTCATTCTTTTCTCGGATGGCAGACATCTGAAAAAAACAAACCCAACAACAGTTGTTTTCTCCATACGTGCTCTCCAACAACACGAGTAGATAAATAGGGAGCACCTTGGTGGGAAGGTAACAGCGTTCTGTGTCTAAGTCGCACTGGCCATGTGACCACGGAAGATTGTCTTCAGACAAAACACTGGCTCTATGGCTTGAAGAGCGGGATGAGCGCCGCCCCCTAGAGTCAAACACGACTGGACAAAATTGTCAAGGGGGACCTTTACCTTTACCTTTTTTCTCTGCCAATTAACCTTCACACAGTCATCAAAAACACTTCCTCACTACTGGGTCAATCATATGGCCCCCATGATATTCACCTATTTCCATCTGTTCCCTTCACATAGATATGACCAGTAAGCCTTTTTAGTTCTCTGTGTTGAAGATCCAGAGCGGGATGAGCGCCGCCCCCTAGAGTCAAACACGACTGGACAAAATTGTCAAGGGGGACCTTTACCTTTACCTTTTTTCTCTGCCAATTAACCTTCACACAATCACCAAAAACACTTCCTCACTACTGGGTCAATCATACGGCCCCCATGATATTCACCTATTTCCATCTGTTCCCTTCACATATGAAGAATTATAGATATGTCTAGTAAGCCTTTTTAGTTCTCTGTGTTTAAGATCCTGGGCTAAAACCTCCTTTTTAAACTTTGTAGTTCTTCCACACAGCTGTAACACACACACACACAACAAGCCAAAGTCTCTCTTTCATTTTTATCTCTATGGCACCTCTGTCCCTCTTCTCAAACACCAGAAGATCCTTCCCTCACAATGCCATTATGAAATATTCCACTCAAACGCCACAGAATCCCAACATGTTTTTCATCTAACTAAAGATCCTCAAGGTCAGCTGATTTCCAGTCATCGAAGACCAGATGAAGCAGAAAGGCCATGCCAAGTTTCTTTGAAGGCAGAGGAGCAAAAAAGAAGAATCTATGCATCAACCAATGAGAAGACCACGTTATATGCTCCTCTCATACTGCATGGGTGGCAGCTTTATTTACTTCCCTGCTTATTTATTTATTGCTTGTATATTATACTTATCTTCTGAAAAAGACAAGGAACTGCACACAGCAGTCTCCCCATCTTTATTTCATCCACATAACAATGCGAATCTATGCTCCAAGAGTTAGCAACTGGAACAAAATCCCTAGTGAGTTCTACGGGGAATTGAACCCAGCTTCTCAAACAACAGTCCAATGTGCCACTTATTGCACCACAGTAGGGGTCAGCTGTGTAATCCAGCTCAAGCAGATGGTGCACGACTGCCAATGTCTGTAACATTGCCTTACAACCAGGAAGGCTGAAATTTGTTCTAGATGAAACCTATATTACAAGAACGTCCTGCGTCCACGGCCCCATCCTTCAATGGCCCTGTCACGGAATCTCTCTCTCTGTCCTCCAAACCCCCAAACTCCCAACACACACCTTTGATCAAACATGTAACAATGGCACCCTCTGCAGGCATGCTGGCTACATAATCACAGACTGCCTTCTAAGATGCTTCCAACCACATGCATGGCATGCAGGCTTACAGTTATAGGATTCTGCAGAAAAAAAAGCAAGGAAAAGGTGGTGTGGTCCCCCAAGATCACACAAATGCAAGAGTGGGTGATACCTTTTATTGGACCACTTTTAAAAAAAATCAAACAAATTGCAATCTTACGTGGAAAAATCTCACTTCATCAGGCTGAGTGTCAACCCATCATAGGTAGCGCAGAAAAATCACAGACAAGAATCCCAAAATGATATCATTCTGCAGTGACACAACTCTCAGTTTGTCATTTGCCTCCTTTCAGTTAGAGGAGACTGGGTTTTTAAAAAGTTTCCACTGGCCTCCGTAAGAATTTTTTGAAAAAAGTAACTACTGTGCAGGGGATGGGGAGTCTGGATGCTGGCTGGGGATGACCAAGGGCTATACCTTAGCCCACCTGCAAGCAGTTCCTACTAAAGCATCAAAAAGCCTACTAAAGCATCAAAAAGCATCAAAATCCAGAGCATAGAGTGCTGTCCTCGGAAGATGCCGGCCACAGAGATTGGCGAAACGTTAGGAAGAACAACCTTCAGAACATGGCCAAAGAGCCCGAAAAACCCACAACAACCATTAGATCCCGGCCGTGAAAGCCTTCGCGAATATTTATTTATTTATTTAT